CAGGCTCCAGAGATGCATGCTGAGAACATGGGTGTCCATCTGCATCCCCTAAACTGCTCACATTGTGAGTGCCCTGTGGTGACTGGCGTGGCGCAGGCACCCCATAAACACTGAGGGATGCAAGGATGAAGGGATGTGTGTGCCGTGGACACATGTGCATGTTTGTGCTTGTTCAGAGCGGACGGTGGTGAGAAGAACACTTGCTGGAAGCAGAATTCTGCGCCCCCTGCTCTTCCTGGTCAGGTAGAATGATCTTTGGCCACATTCCTCACTCTGGGGCTCTTACTAAGTCATCTCCAGGAAGGACATGAAGTGCAGGGCGCTTTGCAGCCCACAAAGCCACACCACCCTTGTTCCAGCCTGCCGGGCTCCCTGTGCTGCATGCACCCACCCTGATACCTGCAACCTCCTCAGGGTGCTGGGCCCCCAAACACAGGCTTCTTCTCTGCAGCAGGGGCCAGCGCCTGGGCAGAGAGCTACTCACCCCCAGCATCAGCACCTCAAGGTGGTTCCCTGGCTGTGGGGGTGGGCAGGGCGGAGAGGGTGCCACGGGAAGACTGACTGGAGCAGAGAGGACCTTCAGGGCAGGAAGACTCTTCTATACAATGCTTTGATGGTACGTGTGTGTCAGGATGTGATACAGGCCGCACAGCGCCAGGCATGACCCCTCACGTCAGCTGTGGGCTCCAAGTGATGCTGACCTGAGGCTGTGGGTCTGTTGGGGCTGTTGTTGGGGGGCTATGCATGTGTCAGGGCGGGTGTGTAAGGGAAATCTCTCTACCTTCCTCTCAGTGAACCTAAAAGTGCTCTAAAAAATAAATTCTATCTTTTTAAAGGAGCAATTATTGAACTGCACACCTACAATTGATGGATTTTATGATGTATAAATTATACCCCTGCAATTGATCAGGGCCCGATGGGGTCTTCCTAGAAAAGACTGCCCCCCAACCATGGCCTCTGCCTGCCTCTTATTTATAGGAAAATTTTAGCCTCCTAGGTCTTCCCTGAATTTCAAAGAATAAATTTCATCAAAGAAGTGAGTAAATGCAGAAACAATGGGAAAGAAGACAAGACAAAATAATAATAGTTTAGCCATAGAACAAAGACCAGGATCTTCGGTTCCGCCTCAGGGAACTGGACTGGATCATGCAGTCTGAACCACGGCCTCCGAGTGCTGCAGAGACTGGACCCCCACCAGGTGGGAGCAGTGCACTGCACACAGCCCACCAGCACGCAGATCCCAAACTGGTGGGACCCAGAGGTGGATGACTGACATTCTGCAAACACCAGGCTGTCCCCTCACTGCCAGTCAATCAGCGGTACACAAGCTAATCACATACCCTGTGACCCCTCCCACACCGTGTGTTTAAAAACTCTCCCCCACGGTTCCCCCATCCCCCACCATCCCACCTGTCATCACGCTATCCCCTCTGGCTCCAGAACGCTGATGCTGTGTCTGTCCACTGCTGCCAGCACAGGGGTGATGGGCTGGCCTGTGTCCTCAAACATCACCTGCTGAAGCCCTGACTCCACGGTGGGCCTGATATGACACTCCACAATGCCCGTGGGGCCCCAGGGCCCCACCCCTTCCCCATCAGCCTCCCTTCCAGTGCAGATGCAGCCTCTGGGGAGGGGCCTGGGGTCAGCAGCTCAGCCAGACCCTCCTTCCTTACAGCAGGCAGCCCCTCACTCAGTCGGGGCTGGGGGACACCCACCCAGCCTTCTCCAGCTCAAGCAGAAGGAGCAGTGGCCCCCTGTGGGAGACGAGGGGCCTCATCTTCAGCTGTGGTCCTGGATGCTCTGCAGGCCACCAGGCTTTCAGGACAAAATCAGCATCAGACCTGTATCATCCAGGATCTGGCAGGGAACAAAGGCAGACTTAGCTGCTCTGATTTGTAGAGAATTTCATGAAGGGACTGTTACCCGGCTGTGGGCCTTAAGGAAGGCACCTGGGACCACCCTGGGCTGCAGAGATAAAGGGAGGAGGCAGGTCATCAGAGCCAGTTGGGGGGGTTACACGGGAGCCGTCTCGGGGTGGAGAGGGGACACAGCCATTGCCAAACTGAGGTCCTGGCAGGGTGGGCCTAGGAGTACCTCTCCTCCTACGCCCTGCTGGTGCCTCCTAAGGGCCAAATTCAGCCAGCAGCTGGGCCCACGGGGCCAGAACAAGACAGACAGGTGAAGTACAGTGGGCAGGTGACCCGTGCAAGGCCTGTGGGGTGGGGGCCGCAGCACACAGGCCTGTCCAGCGGGCCCACTGCCCCCATCCCGTCACCCCGAGTTCTCCCACCTCCTGGCAATGCTGGTCAGAGAAGCCCCTCACTCACAGCAAGGGGACTTCCTCAGACTCATAATCAGAATAAACCAGGCAGCAGGAGGCTGAGACCCAAGCTCAGGGCTGGCAGCCCAGGCAGAGCCGACGTGACTCAGCACCTCACCTGCAAAGTTACCGCTGCTCAGCCAGTGACCCAGGAGCAGACATGCTGAGGATGACCGGCACTCCAAGAATGGATTCCCCCGCCTTGGTTTAAATCAACACCTCCCACAGTGGGTCCCAGGGCGGCAGATTAGATCTGCAAAACCAACCAACCACTCCAGGCAGGGGGCCCCCCAAACCCAGAGAGACATGTCCATGCTGGGTAGTCAATAAACACACCCTCTAATGTGTCTCTTCAGGACATCTAAGGGTTTCCATCAGACACCACCTTCAGAGGGAGCACATGGGGCCAGATTTCTGCCCCTGAAGAGTGCATCTAAACCCCACCACACCCAATAAGCAGAGTGCCTGCTTTGCTGACCCACGTGAAGGTTTTAAGAAAAAACTAACAGGCAAAACACAATAGGGACCACCTCACTCCCTAATTACCTCTGTCTTTCCTCTTCTGTTTTTGGTGTGTGTGTTCTGGGTTTCTTCGGGGGCAGGGGGTGGGGCCTAGGCTTATTAGCTGTACTCAGGAGAAGTATTTGGTGCTAGAATTAGGACATGTTTATCAGTATTTTTTTTTAACTTTACATTTTATTAGTTTTGATGACTGATTGTCCCTTATTTTCCTTGCTGTAGCCTGTGCTAAAATTAGCTGAAAGGATAGATGTCTTAGGATTAGATTCAGCTGTGTGTAACAGGAAAGAGCCCAAAGAGGCTTAAACTAGATACAAGTTCCTTTCTCCACTGCATGAAAGAGGCCTGGGGAAGGGCAGTCAGGGCTGGCTCTCAACCACACCACAAAGTCAAGGGACCCAGCTCCCCCCCGATTACCCCCTACCACCCATTGGAGGTGCCTCCTCCTCCCTGTCCAGCCGCTGTGCATGAGGACAGGTCAGAGGGCTCAGAGAAAAAAGCAAAGAGCGGCTGCCTTTGCACCACATCCATGTGCATCTTCTTGGCCAGATTTCAGACATGTGGCCTCAGCAAGGGAGGCTGGACCACTGGGCCAGCTAAGAACCAGGACCTCACTACTCAAGACTAAGGGAAGAATGGCTCTTGAGAGGAAGGCCACCGTCTCTTCCACAGATGAGGATAAAAGCCCCATTTCAGGCAATCTGTTCACAGCAGAACAATTATTACACAATTATTATATTGATGATGATGAGGGTGAGTATTCACTACACAGTTACCAACTGTGGGCCCTGCGCCAGGCACCTGGTGTCTGCTATGCAACCATAGGCCTCTGAAGAACAGACTATTACCACCCTCGTTCTACAGAGGAGCTAACCAAGGCACAGAGAGGCTAGGGAACTTGTCCAAAGTCGCCCAGTTAACAGGTGGCACAACTTGGACTGGAGCGCAGGCAGACTGGCTCCAGGTCCCCCAGGATACACACAGCTTTGAAGAGAAAACTGTCATCAGCTATCACAAACTCGAGGGGCCAAGACTCAGGAGAGAGAAGGGGCCGGGGCCAGCTCTTACTTTGAGCCTTTGCACATCTCATCTGCTCAACTAACACTCTTCCTCAACAAACATGATGTGCGCGATGAAGCACTGTCTGGTGCCTGCATTTGCCACTCCATGGGTAACCAACACACGGCAGGTGCTCAGAAGATGTCTGACCCGCGAGTGGGCCGCAACACCAGCCCACCAACGCTCAAGGCCAAGTAAGGAGCTGGCAGGTGGCCCCTCGGGGAGCAGAGCAGACTCAGCTGTGGCCTCCTTGGGACAACCCTGGTGTGGCTGTGCTGCACTTTGGGGGCACAAGCAGCCATTGAGGTCCTCCAGGTAGGTCAGTCACACTTAACTCTCTTCTCAAGTCCAAGATGAGAAGCCCAGCCTCAGCCCTGAGGCCACGGGGAGGCCTGGAGTGGGTTGGTGTGGGGGAGGTGGCAGGGTGGCCCTCAGGGAAGACTGTCCTGGAAGCCTGAGCAGAGGCCGGAGCCCTGAGGGAGGGCGCCCCAGAGGCAGAGACGGAGCCGGAGGCTCAGGAGGCAGGACAGGAGGAGGTGGGCTTCAGGGCTGAGGAAACCAACTGAGAGGGGTCGGGAGAGCCTGAGGTGGGACGGGCCCAGTGAAGGCATTTGGAAGATGGGGTTGGGGTAAGAGAAAGAAAAACAGAGGAGGCCTGTGTGAGAGGGGGAGGGAGGGGGACTGCTGCAGGGGGCTGGAGAGGGGCCCTGGTTTGGGCTGGCAGACAGCACTTGGACGCCTGCGGCCTGTGCTCACAGCTCAGCAATGTCCTAGCCCTGCCAGGAGACGCCCGGCCCCAGCCCCGGCCCTGGCGCAGCCCCCACATCGGGAGCTCTGGAGCTACCCCCCACCCCACCTCTGCTCCCCAGAATGGGCCTCCCCTCCCCAGAACCGAGACATACCCCCACACCCTCACCCCAGCCTTCCCCTGGACAAAGACAACGGCTAATGAAACCCAGGCCAGGGAAGGAGAGGGATAAAATAAACAGACGTGAGCAGGGGGGCCGTCAGGAAGCAGGGCAGGGGCTGGGGGTGCCAGCAGAGGGGTCCGGGGGTGTCTGCGGGGCGTGGACGTCGTCTTCGCTTTGCCCAGACAGGCCTAATGAGATCCAGGTGGTCCCTTGGCCCAGGCCCGCCCCGGGCCCCCGACAGCGTAAGTGGAGCGGGGGAGGAGAAGGGGCACTGCAGCCGTGGGGCGGGGCTGGGAGGCTGGCCTGGGGCCCAGCACATAACTCTGGGCGGACACAGTCTGGGACAGCAGACACCCAGCCGCTCGGAGCCCAGCTCGGAGCCCAGCTCACAGCATGGAGGTAGGGGGCCGGGAAGGGGGCCGTGTGGGCTGAGCCCCCCGTGCGCAGAGGGCCCTCACGGACAGATGGGGGCTGTCACGAGCCTGTCCCAGAGGAGGTGGGGGTGGCAGGGCAGACCAGGGGTTCCTGGCGGGGCTGGCTCCTGTGAGGGACAAGTGCAGGGAGACAGGGGCTCTGGGGCTGGGCTCTGACCCTGCTCTCCGGTCGCCAGGCCCTCCTGGCCCTGCCGCTGCTGCTACTGCTCTCTGCCAGCCCCTGCGCACCTCAGCTCCTAGGGATCCGGGGAGATGGTAAGCTGCCTCACTCCTGGCCCGCAGGCTGGGTGACGGGCTGGGTGAGGGGCTGGGTGAGGGGCTGTCCCGGGCACTCACAGCTGGGGGTGGGGCTGGCTGAACCTGTTAAGATGGGGTGGGTGGGCTGGCCAGTCGGCACCCCGGCCTAGGGAGAGAGGCAAGCATGGGGCGCGGAGGTGTCCGTCACCTCAGGCCCCTTCTCCTCACCTGCCCCAGCTCTGGAGAAGTCGTGCCTCCAGCTGCCCCTGGACTGTGACGACATCTACTCCCAGGGCTACCAGGCGGATGGCGTGTACCTCATCTACCCCTCAGGCCCCAGCGTGCCTGTGCCTGTCTTCTGCGACATGACCACAGAGGGCGGGAAGTGGACGGTGAGTGGAGGGGGGATGGGGGACACATCACGTGGCTGTGAGCCTAGGACGATGCTCACAGCAGTGTGTGGAGCGCCGCCACCCCCAAACCCTAGGCACCTAAGGTAGGTTAGGGGCTGCATTGCATTGCTTTGCACCATAACCCTGGGAGCAAGGTGCCCCTTACAAATGATGGTCTGGAGCCCAGAGAGATGCAGTAACTTGCCCAAGTCACACAGCCAGTGCCAGACTCTACCCCAGGTGCCTCAACTCCAGCCCACCAGCTCCCTCCACCTGCTCTTGCCCCTGGGGCCAGCACGCACCTCCTCTTGGCCCCCACTTGGTCCTTTCACAAACCACCTTAGCCTCACAGGGTCCATGCCCAGGTGAGGGCACTGCCCCTGGCCCCTCAGGCATCCAGGCCCACCCCCTCTGCTCCAGGTTTTCCAGAAGAGATTCAACGGCTCGGTGAGCTTCTTCCGGGGCTGGAACGACTACAAGCTGGGTTTTGGCCGGGCTGACGGGGAGTACTGGCTGGGTAAGGCAGGGCCCAGTGGGCTGGGGGCCCCTGGAGCCAGGTCCCCGCTGACCAGCCAACTGTACCCCCTCTTCCCAGGGCTGCAGAACATGCACCTGCTGACACTGAAGCAGAAGTACGAGCTGCGGGTGGACCTGGAGGACTTTGAGAACAACACGGCCTTCGCCAAGTACGCCGACTTCTCCATCTCACCCAACGCCGTCAGTGCGGAGGAGGACGGCTACACCCTTTATGTGTCGGGCTTTGAGGATGGCGGAGCAGGTACACTCCACCAGCTATGTGGGGCTGAGGATGGGAAAGGGCGCTGGGCTCACCCCACATCTGGCTCGGGGGGCCCTCCCAGGCCGCCCTCCTGCCTCAGCTGCTCCGTGCCCCTCCCCTCTGCCAGGCGACTCACTGTCCTACCACAGCGGCCAGAAGTTCTCCACCTTCGACCGAGACCAGGACCTCTTCGTGCAGAACTGCGCAGCGCTCTCCTCGGGTGCCTTCTGGTTCCGCAGCTGCCACTTCGCCAACCTCAACGGCTTCTACCTGGGTGGCTCCCACCTCTCCTACGCCAATGGCATCAACTGGGCCCAGTGGAAGGGCTTCTACTACTCGCTCAAGCGCACCGAGATGAAGATCCGCCGGGCCTGAGGGGCTGGCCCCCTCGCGGCCCGCCGCCCCTGCCCCCATCCCACCCGGCCCCACCGGCAGCTCTGCTGCTCTCAGCACCGCCTCGGCTAAGCCCCCATGGCTCCAGCCGGACATCCCCATCACATCCCTGGCATCCACCTCTTGGCCAGGCCCCTGCTCCCTGCCATCCGAGGCTATGCTGCCGCAGCATCCCAAAACTCCAAAAGGCTCCGCGGTCCAGCCCGGACTCGGACCCTGTCCCGAAGGACACGGGGCTGTGTCCCACTTTAGCCAGCTTCCTGACCACGGCTTCTGGCGGCCGAGCCTGTAGACCTCTCCTGGCATCTGCCAGGCCACCCACGTGTGGCCACTGCTGCCACAACCCAGCAGTCCCACTGGCCGGCCCTTCACCTTCTTCCCACCCCCATGTTCCCCAGGGGTGAGCACCATGGCCCGGCCCCATTGCACTCATGCTCAGCGGCCCCCTGCCTGCCTGACCCAGGCACCTGAAACGCAACACCCAAACTGTATTTCACCACAGCTCCCACAGGCCACCCTAAAATGCCACAGCCAAAGGCGGGCACACATGTGAGGTCCCCCCACCCGCCCCGGGGGGTGAGTGTGACCGTGCGAGGGTCAGAGGACCACCTCTGTGGGGCTGGGAGCAGGTGGGAATGGAGGTCTCAATAAACCTCAGGACCTGAACGAACCGGCCTTACTGCTGTGCACGCGGATACCTTTGCCTGCCCCCATGACGGCACACTGTCCTCGACTCCGAAAACACACCCTGGAGACAGGCACTAGAGACCTTGTATTTCACAGGCAACCTTCCGAGGGCAAAAAAACTGTGTCATCATAATAATGTAATAATAATAATAAAATTACGATACTGAAAAGAATCGCTCAGGGGAGGGGCTCCCCCTCTTGGCGTGGCTTGTGCTGGCTCAGGTGGCTGCCTAAGGCCACAAGGTGGGTCTGAGATGAAGCTGCAGAATGATCTGAGCTGATTCCCCGACTGGGTGCAGGCCTTTGGCCCTTGGGGATGGTCCTGCAGATCTTGGAGCTGGGTCTGCCCCTAGCAGCAAGGCACAGACTGCGGGCCTCAGGGCTCCTGGAGGTCAGGCAGGTCGGCCAGCAGCATGGGGGAGTCCATCTGGATCTCACGCTGCAAGGACTCAATGTCGGCAGGGTTCATGCCGTGGCCCTCGAGCCAGTCAGCGAGCAGGGAGGCTGAGAGTGAGGCTGAGTCTGCCTGGCTGTGGGTATGGCGGGGAAAGGGGGTGAGAGGCTCCTCCTGCAGGGGGATCCCCAACCGACAGCCCTACCAGACCCAGAGACCCACCAGACCCAGAGCCCCACTGGACCCACAGCCCAACTTGAAAGGTCAGACACAGCTCTTACCCGTCCTGTGGCCCGTCAGCCACACCCATGTCAAAAGATTGGTTTAGGAATTCCTCAAGGTCAAAGCCAACACCATAGCCAGCTCCACTGCCCTTGGGGGTGCCCGAGAACACGGGGGGCAAAGGGTCCTCCACCTGCAGGAGATGACGGCAGCTCACAACGCAGGCACCACCAAGAGCCGACTGAGGTTGGCAGGGCGCCCCACCATGACACCGCCCCACCCATGACTGGGCCTGGACAGCAGCGGTGACAGCGCCAGCCTCGACAAACCCTGAGCGTGGGCTGGGGTCTCCAACAATCTGCTCGTCAGCATTAGGCTCTTTCTGTGAGTGAGGGGCAGGTGAGGGGAGCTCAGCTCTCCTAGCACTAGGACACACACGACCTCTCCTGGCCTCAACAACCTCAGAGCCCACCTCCCCCGATTTAGACCCAGGCATCCCTACAACCAGGCCTCTCCCTCACCTGCGACTTGGACAGCTGCTGGGTCACCAGGGTGACGTCAGGTGACTCCGATGTGGAGGGCTGTGGGGCCCCCCCAGGGTCTGGAGGGGGTGGGCCAGAGGGGAAGTAAGGCAGAACACTCAGGGCACTGGGGCCGGGCAGCCCAGGGGGTGGCACCAGTGGCTGGGGGGCCAGAAGGTCAGAGGCAGTGGTGGTCTGGGGTGCAGCAGGGCCAGCTGCAGGTGCAGGGGGTGGGCAGGCCGGCTGTGGCAGGGGCCCAGTGGGCTGCGTGGCAGGGCCAGCAGGAGGGCTGGGGGGCCGGGCTATGGGGGGTGTGGGCGCAGGGGCAGGGGGCTGGGCCATGCGAGTCCAACGCTCCAGCAGGCTTCGGTCGTTGTCGCTGAGCACCAGCCCAGCCAGGGGGTCGGCGGAGGGGCCCCCCGAGACCCCCGCGCCCCGCTCCTTGCGCTCGCGCTCCTGCCGCCTCTTCTCCCGCTCCTTGGCCCGCTCCTGCCGCCGTCGGCGTTTCTCCTCCCGTTCCCGCTGGCGCTCCTGGGCAGTCACCGGTTTCCGAGGCTCAGGAGCTTCCAGGGGGGCACTGGGGCCATCTGTGGGGAGGATGGGCAGGTGAAGGTAAGAGCCTGTCCAGTCAGGGGGTCCCCCTCTGCCCCCCACTCCCCAGATAGGTACCTCGGAGCCGGCTCCGCAAGGACTTGAGCAAGGCAGCCTTGAGGGCAGCCTTGGTGTTGTCTGAGATGGCTCCCTCCTTCTTTGGAGGGGCTGGTTCACTGGCTGGTGGGGGTGGCTGCAGGGTCAGATCGATGGTGTTGGGCGCAGGGCCAGGGCAAGGCAGTGGGGCTGGAGGAGGGGACTCCATGGCGCAGTCTGCACTCGGAGCCCAGGGGCTGGGCATTTCCACATCGGGGCAGCTGGGCTCACTGGCCACAGGCTGCAGGGAAGGCTGGAAGCGGATTTGCTGGCGGATGCCCTCGCGCCGTGCATGGAAGTCCTCGATCTCTGCCACGATGGCCTCCTTAATGCGCTCCCGCGTGAGGGCTTCGCGGTCAAAGGCAAAGTCAAAGGGTGGGGCACAGTCAGGCTCATCGTCAGGGTCATGGTACTTGGCCAGAAAGGGGTGGCGGAGGGCGGCAGCTGCAGAGACACGGGCGCTGGGCTCGAAACGTAGCATGCGCCCCAGTAGGGAGAGTGCCTGGCGGTCGGCACCCGGGTACACCGTCTCCCAGGGCACAGGCTGGCGCGGGGGCAGGCTCTGGATATAGGCCCGCACCCTCTCAGCTCCCACAGCCTGAATCACGGCTGGCGACGGGGTACCCAGCACCGTCATGATCAGCTGCAGCTGGTGCACGTAGTTTTTGCCTGGGAAGAGCTGGCGCCGGGCCAGCATCTCCCCAAAGATGCAGCCCACAGACCACAGGTCAATGGCCTGCGTGTACTCGTGCAGCGAGAGCATGAGCTCGGGGGCGCGGTACCAGCGCGTGGCCACATACTCGGTCATGAAGTACTGGTGCTCAGCGGGCGAGGTGCACAGGCCACGGGCCATGCCAAAGTCCCCAATCTTGAGCTCGCAGTTCTCGTTCACCAGCAGGTTGGAGGGCTTGAGGTCGCGGTGGATGACCTGAGCCGAGTGCATGTACTTGAGGCCCCGTAGCAGCTGGTACAGGAAGTAGCGCACATGCTCCAGTGTCAGCGGCTGTGAGGAGTGGATGATCTGGTGCAGGTCACTCTCCATCAGGTCCAGGACCACATAGCTAAGGGGCAGGAGAGAGACGCAGGCTGTCTTGCCCAAACTCCAACCCCACTGTCACCATGCCCTCCCAGCTCCAGACAGGTCAAGGTCTTACTCTTGGACTCTGTAGGGTCTGCCCGCATGGTATCAAGATTCTCTACAACTTTTCCATGGACTCATGTGAAATCATTTTTCTCTCCAGGCCTAGCTTTTCTCATCAGAGAAAAGATGAGACTGGACTAGACCAGTCTGGCCCCCGGGGTTTAGTTTGGGGGCCTGCTCCGCTGTGTGGTGGTGGCTGCTTGAAAGGCTACGATGAACATTTAAAGGCTTCTGCAATCTGCAGGACAGTGTTCTGTGACTGACTAGTGACGTCTGCTACTGGAATAGGAAAGAACAGACATGGGATGAATATCCTACATTCGCCATGCTATATACTGAGATTCTGGGCTTCCCAGGTGGCACTAGCAATAAAGAACCCACCTGCCAATGCAGGAGACGTGGGTTCGATCTCTGAGTCTGGAAAGATCTCCTGGAGGAGGGCATGGGAACCCACTTGAGCATCCTTGCCTGGAGAATCCCCATGGACAGAGGAACCTGGCAAGCTACAGTCCACAGGGTCGCAAAGAGTCAAGACATGACTGAAGCGACTTAGCATGCACACATACTGAGATTCTATAAAACTGTCACTTCTATAGTTTCTTTGAGGAAATCATAGGTGTCCCTGGCAAACCCTTAGAGAGCACTGGTCCTGGAGTTGTGGGAATTTCCCCAGCCTACCCTCCATTAAGTTCAGCTGCCCTTCCAGAACTTCAGCAGAATGGCTCCAGCCTTCAGAAAAGGTGCCAACTCTGCCTCCCTCCCTATCCCCGCTCCTTACACAGATTTGAACTCGCCATAGGGTACAGTGGGCCTCAGGATGTCCTTTATGGCAATGATGTTGTCGTGCTTGAAGTGCTTGAGGATCTTCAGCTCTCTGAGGGTCCGTTTGGCATTGGTCACCACGTCAAAAGCGTTAGGGATCTTCTTAATGGCCACCTGCTGGCCTGAGGAACAGGGGAAAAGCAGATGCCACCTGGGATAGCTGGTGAGCTGCAGAGTAGCACATGGCCTCTTTCGATATGCTATGCATGTGACAACAGCTACCACAGAGAACCTACTATATGCCGGATCCTGTGCTGAGCACAGTAGGTACATGACCACATCTCCCTTTTCACCTCCATCCTGAGGCAGGTACTCACAGCTCAAAGTCACAGACTTAGAGACCTGGGCACAGTAATTTGTTGGGCACACTGCACAGATAGTGGTACCTCCCTACACTCTCCGCGTCTCAGGCCTCTTCATCCCACCAGCAACCCGATGCCCACTGTCTGCTCCAGAACACACTCCGGGGAACCTCCATTCTGATCTCACCTGGACTGTCACCTTTCTAAGGAGGAAGCAGACTGCTGCGCTGGCAGAGCCACCAGTTTCTAGAGACCGAAGCCCAACACAGAGGTCGGCCCCCAGACAGCACCCAACCCCTGCTTGCTGACTTGGCTGAGATTTCACATCTCAGCTTCCCTGCTGGCTGCTGGGGACACGGCGGGTCCCACCCCCCGGGAACTGGTTCCCACACATGCGAGCGGCTGGGAGGGTCGCTCACCGGTGAGGCGGCGGCGCGCGGAGGACACCACCCCGTAGGCCCCGTTGCCAATAGTCTCGATGATCTCGTACTCGTCCCCCACGTCGAAGGTCACGTCGAAGGACCGAGCCTTCAGCAGGGCCAGGTTCTTGGCCGCCACCGAGGCGGCGGTGCCAACCGGTTCCGCCTTCACCGGCCCGGGGGGCTCCCCGGAGCCGTCCTCACCGTCGTCCTCCTTCAGGGGCTCGGCCATGGCGTCTGCGTGGACACGCGGGCGAGGAGGGGCCCGGCCCCGTTCTCAGGGGACCCTCAGAGGCTCCAGACCCGCAGGCCGAGCGGCACACGCAGCCCGCGTCCCGCACGCTCTGGAGCCCCCAGCTCAACCCCGCGCGGAACGCGGGGTCGGCGGTGGGGGAGGCGCCGCGAGGCGCGGTCCAGGAAGAAAGCGAGGGGCGGGGCGCACGCTCTTCTTGGTCCTCACTAGGCGGATGGTGCCTCACCCCGACGCCGCCCGGGCCCTCGACGCCGCCCGGGCGTCCAGTCCCCGGGTCGGGGTGGGGGTGGGACCCGAATACCCGCTCCCTCAGTGGGTCTGGCCGCCGCCACCACCTCAGCGGAACGCTCAACTCCGGGTCTCCCGCCCCGCCCCTCAAGACCACGCCCCTCAGTCTCTGACCAATCCCTGGGCGGCTTTTGCTGAGGTGCTCACCCCTTCCACTTGCTCCTCCAATCTGAGTCTACCTTCCGAGGACGCCACGCCTTCACCCGCGCCCGCGTCGTGGTCCAGTCTCCAGGAGGGAACCACCCAACCCGCGCTCGGCATTTAGTCGGGGCGCGGCCGCCTGGCTCAGTCCTCGGACGCAGGCGCGCCAGCAGCCCCCGGCGCCGCGAGACTGCGAGGCACCGCTTCCTGCGTGCGTGCGCTCGCATCCGCTCCGATCTTCCAGGTCCTCTCCAGTCAGTTGCTGGTGGCCTCGGGATCTTGGAGGGCTGAGGTTACCGGTTGTTACCATCACTCAGTCTCCCTCCTTTAGGCCCTTCTTCCCTTATCAGCCCCTATCAACCCGGGGATTGCGTCCCCCATTTTCCCGATGGGCCCCGGGAGCCTGGCGCTTGGGAATGCGTGGTCCAAGGTAGACGGTGATCTATCACATCCAACCACAGATTCCGGTCCTCCGGGTTTTAGAGCGTCGGCCTGAAGCCGCCCTGACTTCCGTTATCTGGTCCTGTCAGCTCAGCTTCCGGCGCCCCAGGCTTCGGCCAAGCGCTTCGCCAGCCTCGGCCGTGAACCTTCCGTGGGGCGGCTCCGTCCAGCGACTCCCGCGCTGTGGTTGCAGGGCAGCGGGCAGGGCCACAGGGTCAGCTGCGCCTGGAGGAGGCAGAGCTCCGCCGGAGCCAGTGCCCTGCCCATCTTCAGGGCCCGCGTTCGACCTCGCAGCGAGTGCGCGCCCAGCGCTGACCCTCTGCGTCCCGAAGCGGCTTGGGGGAGGTCGTGTCTTCTCCAGTGACAGATGAGAAAGAGCCACGGGGCGGGGAGCCCAGGAGTTAGTCCTGAAGGCCCTAGGGAGGGTCCATCCCTTAGACCGGAAAGGAATTTTGTTTACATTACCCACTGTTGTGGTGGTTTATTTTTTACTAAAACATACTTACAGGAAGTTCCACATAACGTAAATGTATGAATAAGTTCACAAACTGAACATATCCGTGTATCAAAGTCAGGTGGAGGAAAACAAAACAAAAATCCAGAACATTACCAGCCCTTCAGAAGCCCTTTCTCTTTTCTAGTGGTTACAACTTCTTTCTGTTAACTCTTTTCCATACTTTGGGGGTCGGGGGTTGCCGTGAATTCTAGGAGGTTCACTGGGGCCCATACATTAAGATGGAAAAGTGGAGACTGCATTTTAAAAATACAATATCAGGGAAAATGTCTGGGAGCATAAGGTCACCTCTAGGACAAATAAATACCTCGTATTTAGACATGGAAAGATCACTTGGACCTCCTGAGTTAACTATACCTTCAGTTCTGGTTTTCCTGAAAGCATAGCAAAAAGCCAAATTATCTGTTACATGATTTGCCTTGACCATTAGTAAACCATATTCATGGGAAGTGGACATTTTCTGCACTAAGTTGTGAAAACATTTCCATGATGGCCTTTCCTTAAGTGACACGGTAGACAATCTTCCTTAACTCTGATGTATGTGTGCGTTAAGTTCTCTGGTGTCCATCAGTGAAAAGAGAGGGCATAAAACTGCAGGACCCAGAAACATGTCTTCCCAGGGAACCCGATGGCCAGTTCTGTGACAGTCTGGTCTGCTAAAGGAGTAAAGCATAAGATAGCAGAAAAGACCCATACATTTTGAATGCTTTAAATACTTCTTTAGAAATATTTCAGCTAGGATTGGTATACAAGTTATAGATGATTAAACTTTCTCTGGCAAAACCTCCCTGTTTCTCATTTACCTTTTAAAAAATATTTTACTTATTTGTTTGGCTGCACTGAGTGGTCTTAGCTGTGGCACATGGGCTCCAGAGCCTGCAAAGTCAGTAGCTGAAGCACGCAGAGATTAGTTGGTCTGGGGCATGTGGGATCTGACCTAGTTCCCAAACCAGGCATTGAACCCACCATTCCCTGTATTACAGGGCAGATTCTTAACCACTGAACCACCAGAGAAGTCCCTTCATTTACTTTTGAATCCACCATGAGCTGCTTTACTTCTCTCGCTACAAGACCCTGACTCTGTCCTGAGAAAGTTGTCCGTTATCTAACATTCTTCAGCCTTGTCTTATGAAAAATGACTACTTGTCATATGACACATATGACACAACTTCATATGACACCACTGACTACTTCAAGAAAAAGTTTTTTCATGTGGCTCAAAATTCAAACCATAATAAAAAGGTTCAAGTGAAAATCCTGGTCTCATGCCAGGTGGCTGATTTTATAGTTTCCTATAAACAGTGTCAGACTTTATTTTGGGGGGCTCCAAAATCACTGCAGATGGTGATTGCAGCTATGAAATTAAAAGACGCTTACTCCTTGGAAGGAAAGTTAGGACCAACCTAAATAGCATGTTAAAAAGCAGAGACATTACTTTGTCAACAAAGGTTCGTCTAGTCAAGGCTATGGTTTTTCCAGTGATCATGTATGGATGTGAGAGTTGGACTATGAAAAAAGCTGAGTGCCGAAAAATTGATGCTTTTGAACTGTGGTGTTGGAGAAGATTCTTGAGAGTCCCTTGGACTGCAAGGAGATCCAACCAGTCCATCCTAAAGGAGATCAGTCCTGGGTGTTCATTGGAAGGACTGATGCTGAAGCTGAAACTCCAATACTTTGGCCACCTCATGCGAGGAGTTGACTCATTGGAAAAGACCCTGATGCTAGGAGGGATTGGGGGCAGGAGGAGAAGGGGACAACAGAGGATGAGATGGCTGGATGGCATCACCGACTCGATGGACATGAGTTTGAGTAAACTCCGGGAGTTGGTGATGGACAGGGAGGCCTGGCATGCTGCGATTCATGGGGTCGAAAAGAGTCGGACACGACTGAGCGACTGAACTGAACTGAACTGAACTTATTGGGCCTCCCTTGTGGCTCAGCTGGTAAAGAATCCTCCTGCAATGTGGGAGACCTGGGCTTGATCCCTGGGTTGGGAAGATCCCCTGGAGAAGGGAAAGGCTACCCATTCCAGTGTTCTGGCCTGGGGACACAAGTGAGCCACTTTCACTTTCATTGGAAGTAAAAAAGAAACAATAAAAATTGGAAACACCCAAATACAACTATACATTCTTTGTCCCCTTGACAAAATATAGCAAATCATTTACACATTTCCTGAAATCATTAAGTATCAAAAACCAGAGGGATCTCATTCTTATAACATCCTTTTGGTTTTTTTTTGAGATACAATTCACATACTGTAGAACATTTATAGTGTACAATTCAGTACATGAATTTAGTAGGTTCACAGAGTTGTGCAACCATCACACCACCCAATTTTAGAACATTTTCATCATCTCAGAAGAAAGCCATTAGTCACTCCTAATTTCCCCTCACCAGCCCCTGGCAACCACTAATCTACTTCCTGTGAGCCCATGGCAACCACTAATCTACTTCCTGTCTCCCAACTGTCTATTCTTGATGTTTCAGATCAATGCAATCATACACTCTGCGACCTTGAGACCTTTTGTATCTGACTTTTTTCACTCAGCCTAATGTTTTCCAGGTTCATCCTTGTATCAGAACTTCATTTTTATTTTTATAGCTGAATATGTTACACCATATACATAGACGGCATTTGTTTATCCCACCATCAACTGATGGACATTTAGGTTCCTTCCACTTTTTGGCTGGTGTGAATAACTGTGCTCTGGACATTCACGGACAAGGTTTGTGTGGACCTAGGCTTTCCAAAATCTTGGGTACAGATCTAAGGGTGTGATTGGTAAACTTTTTAAACATTTTGAGGAACTGCTGAACTGTTTACTTTAGTGGTCGCACCAATTCACTATCTCCCCAGTGTATTTGACGGTTCCAATTTCTCCACATCCTCACCAACACTTATTATTTTCCTATTTTTCTTTTTTAAATTGTAGTCATCCTGGTGGGTATGAAGTAGTATGTCTTTGTGGTTTTGATTTGCATTACTCTCATGACTAATGAGGGCTTCCCTGGTGGCTCAGAGGTTGAAGTGTCTGCCTGCAATGCAGGAGACCTGGGTTCGATCCCTGGGTCGAGAAGATCCCCTGGAGAAGGAAATGGTAACCCACTCCAGTATTCTTGCCTGGAGAATCCCATGGACGGAGGAGCCCGGTGGGCTACAGTCCTCAGGGTTGCAAAGAGTTGGACACGACTTCACTTTCTTTCATGACTAATGATGTTGAACATCTTTTCATGGGCTTATCAGCCATTCTTCTTTGGGGAAACATCTGTTCAGTGTCTATTCAGTTCCTTTCTGTTTTGTTTGTTTGCTTTTGGCTGTGCTGGGTCTTTGTTGCCTCGAGAGCTTTTTCTCTAGTTGCAGCAAGCTGAGGCTACTCTCTAGTTGTGGTGTGCTGGCTTCTCATTGCAGTGGCTTCTCTTGTTGCAGAGCATGGGCTCTAGGGCATGTGGGCTTCAGTAGTTGCAGCATGGGCTCTAGGGCGTACGGGCTCAGTAGTTGCAGTTCCTAGGCTCCAGAGCACAGCCTCAATAGTTGTGGTGTGGTGTAGGGGCTTAGTTGCTCAGTAGTATGTGGAATCTTCTCATTGGCAGGCAG